CTTCACCCCAACTTCTGAGCATTTAGGCTCTTCAGAACACAGCCTGCTGTACAGCCAGGTTTCCAGAAAACCTATCATAACAGATCTCCGCTGTCAGCTATAAAATTATATTATAGTGCAATTCAGAAATAATCTTCTGTTCCTATCCAGATGCTACTGATTTCAACAGAGAGCAATCAGACTTACCCATTTTCTCAGTTTCCTTTTTCCACCCCCTGTACAGTGCCGCTTCCCTCCACTTCAGAAGGTATTTCTTCGGCTTGGTGGCAAACTGGGATTTAGATTAGGAGATATTATTTGTTTAGATCTAGATGGCTCTTCCATCTGGTTAGATCTGCACTAGGAACATTAGAATTCCCAGCAGTTTTGTATGTTTGTGGGTTTTTTTTTAAATCGCAAAGCCACAGTTCCCACTTGAAAGATCAAATTTTTATAAGATCCATGACGTTAGTCTTCTGCTTCTGAACTGCTGGTCAGAGGCCACAAAGGGGAAAAACCCCACACTGCACATACACACTTTATCACCTCCTTTAGGTATATTCCAAGTCTTTGAACTGAAGCAATTCAAAAACTAGACATAGTCACTGTTTAATTTTCCATCTTATTTGCCTGCCAGTCACAGTACCACAGTCATTCTTCTTCAGTTACATCCCATGATACGTCCCCTTTGGAAAAGAAAATAAAGTCAAGTCTGAAATTCATAAAAGGCAACCTGTATGATCTCAGCCAAAGGAGGAGAGCAGCACAACAGTAAAATGTATCTGCAATTGAACAACAGAAGAATTCAGCTATTTGGGTTTTTTAAATTTATTTAAAAGGAGTGGCTTTGACACCTATGGAAACATCATTCTTCTTTCTGCTTATCCCCAGTTCAAAAGAGCTCAGAGGAGCCTTTCTTAGGAAAGATGGCTTTTCCAAAGACGCCTGTGTATGCTCTGCTTGGACCGTGCCTTGGGGGACATACGGTAAGGAGGCTGTACTTGCTTTTACGGCTAAATATGACAATATGTCAGTCTGCCTAGGGGGAATCTAACTGAACTTACAACAAAACATAGACTTTATTCCTTTGGAAAAAGCATCCCAAAATTTTTCTTGGCAAGACAAAATTTGGCAGGAAGTTTTACTCTTGACTAACAACTAACTAAATTTTGTTCTAAAGTCGACAGGAGACTGAAGGAGGACTTCCACAGATGGAAACCTTTCTGTGGGTATTTTCTTCCCTCCCCCTGAATCTGCACTGGAAAGCACTAGGCACTGAGAAAACAATACAATCAGAGAAGCCCCCACATGTGATTCTGGCTCTCCTTCGAAGGGAATTAAGGCTTCAGGCTCCAAGTAGCCATGACTGCAGATAGGAATGAACACTCGAGCCTGAAGCGCTAAGCATCAGCACATCCCTCCAAGGCTTGAATCCTACAGATCTTCTTTGAAGTGAAGCCTTGCAGGCAACATCCCCCATCCACTGGATGGTGTGACCCTGCGCTCAGATTGCGCCTTTAGCATAAAAGACTTTAAGGTATTTGTAGTTGGAGGAAAAAGCAGAGAGAAATTTCAGCAGCTGGATGGGAACCAGTATGTGCACGGCTGAAAGGAGACACCAGGCCATTACCACACCAGGCACCAGCTGGGCTGCCCATGAGGCACTCGGAGGCAAACCGAGCACGTACCAGGTCACCTCTGCCCCAGGATTTCATTTCAAACAAAATCCAAGCTCACAGAGGAACTGGAGCTCACCAAAAAGGCTTCTTTAATAAACAAACAAATAAATAAATCAATCTCCTTCCCGGCACTCATAGGATGCCTACGTGGTGCCTATGACTAGGTGAAATCCTGAAACATGCAGATAACAACCTTGCTGGTTGCGATATGAAGCCTTTAACATTCATCCATCTACTTGAGGAAGACAAATAGATGCTAAACATTTTAGAACCTTGCATACACACAGCACAATTATTTCCAGCTGCAGGATTATCATTAAGCTTTATTCCTCATACCATTAATCCTTTTAGAATTACAAAAAGTATTCCAACACAAATTGTGAAAGACAAGGCTTTTTAAGGAAAAAAAAACAAACCCTAAGACATTTAACTGTTGGTCCCTGTGGAAAACAGATCCTGCTTTTCAGTTCTACTGCTACACCAAAGATAACCATAAACAAGGGGGAAAGTGTTTACAAAGCAAGTGACTTTGTTTCAAGCTGCCAGTTACAGTGAGTTCAGATGCTGCTTGTAAAAACACAGGATTAAACAACGCCCGATTGCTAGGATCTGTAAGATACCACGTTCCTTGAAGTACTGAATGTTAACTTTCTCCCACTTCACCTCCTGGAACAGCTGCCTTGCCAGCTCCGCTGCCTTTGTTCAAAGTTGTTTGTCATACTGAACAGAGGTTCTCGGAAAAAATTATGCTGGGAGCAGAGGTGTAGAACATCACAGTCTGAATTTTTTTTTTTTTTTTT